TTGCTCAGAATTCACATAGAAACTGTATGAGGGAGAAATAGTCAATTTGTTGAAGGCTATGCTGAGGGGGAGGGAAGGGGTAGAGTTTGCCTTTGAACAGCAAGGTGCCATCACAGGTAGCTCTTTATTTTTTAAATGCCAAGGTTAAGTTTCTCCATCATTCTCATCTAAGTGTTTCTTGGCGCTGTTTGGACATTTTGTTTAATCTTGGATCACTATTATTACTATCTCTTGTCCTGACTTTTTTTTTTGGCGGGGGGTGGGGGGAGCATAAACTTGATTAAACCCAGTTGGAAGTTTGCTCTTTCTCTCTCGTTGCAAACCTGTGTATCTCCCTCCTGTTGGCCTTCAATTCTTTGCCCTTTTAACACTTTTCTCTTTTGGTTTGGGAACACCTTGTTGGAATCCATTACTTTACAGATGAGGAAATCGGGGGAGGTGACGGGGACATAGGTGAAAAGCCTTGACCAAGACCATCAGTCACTAGTTCACTCAGTACATACTGACGGAGCACTTCCTAAAAACCAGGCCTGTGCCAGGAGACCAGAAATGTGAAGAGCAGACCTGACCGGGCTCCTGCCTTCTTGGAGCTTACAGCTCCTCTGCACCAAAGACTTGAATCGAATACCTTCAAACATAAATACAATGAACATGACCCATTTTTGCTACGAAGGAGAACACTGGGTGCTCTGAGGGAGGAGGAGAGTGGAGGGGAAGCCTCTCTGAGAGTGAAAAGAGTTATTCGGGACCTAAGGACCACCTTGTGCAAAGAGCTTGGCACATTTGCCAAACTGAAAGAAAGAGCTCTTGATGTATAGTGAGGGGGAGAGGAGAAAGGTGAGGTAGGAAAGTAGGAAGGGGCCAGGTGGCATAGGGCCCTATCGAGTTTGGATTTAGTACTAGGAGTGGTGTAGTGGGAAATCTCTGATTTAGTGGGAAATCTCTGAAGACTGGTAAGCAAATCCATGGTGCAATTTGGTTTCCATTTTTGAAGATGCCTGCCTCTGCATGCGGTCTGGAGAGTAAGTTTAAGGCCAGAGGGCTTGCCAGTCTTAGAGATGGGACTTCAACCCATGGCTTCTTATTCCAAGTCCATTCCTATTTATCAGGTCTCCCTTCTAGTTCCTAAGTGCCTACCTGGATTCAATAGAAAGTGCAGAATAGCACTGGGCCTGCGTCCAAACGGCTAACGTAGGCTGCTCCAATGGACAGGCAAAGAAAAAAACTGACAAAGTAATTCAGAGGTCTAAGCTAGATAGTTTCTCAGTTCAATAAAACCTCCTCCTGTTGTCTAAAATATGCTGTCCGTTAGATGTCGCTCAGAATCATGAGTGCTGTCATTCCTGTTGGCTCTGCCTGCCAAGCTGTAGCTTGTGTCTGTGCCACGTTCCAGTTAAGCCAGCCCAGTGGGCTCAGGGGCACACCCCGCGACATCGGCCTCCCCACTGGTGGGTGCCATTTTCAGCAACTCAGCAGTTTGTTTTAAAACGCACATGATTAAATGTTACTTTAGCTTTACACCTTATGTCAGTTGTGAAATCATTCCTTCGCATCGTGTCTCCTTAACTGTATTTACTTGCATTATATTTGTACAAGCTAATGCAACCAGTTATTTTGATTGAGTAACACCAACATGTTTATATATGTCTATTCTGCCTCTCAGGAAATGCTCGGTGTGCTTTTTATCTGAGGATTGCTAACTCATCTCAGCATGTACTTATTGACAGGTAGAAGCACTGTGGTATTCTGGCAACAGCAAGGGCTTTGGGCAGACACGCCTACATCAAATCATCACTCCACCCTGGTGGCTTTGAGCAAGCTCCGCCTCTGTAAAATGGGTATAATAAACTCGCAGAGGAATTATGAAAAGTGGCACACCATATATAAAACTGGTTTATGTCACACTCAGTAAATTTTTACTATTTTTTTATCACATCAGCTTGATTGAGGTATCATTGACATCTAATAAACTTATATGTTCAAAATACACAGTTGATACATTCTGGCATGTATAGTCCCATGAAATCTTCAGACAAGCAGGCTTTCTATCCCTCCCCTTATCTGTCTATTCTGTATCTATTGACTTGGTGGTGGTGTTGGGAGAAGGGAGTATTTATTATTTTTAAACCTACTTAGCATGATCATTGCTCTATGCTGATGTACTCACAGTATTTAATTTATTTTTAATTTGATTTGGCATTAGAGGAAAGTAAGTTTTTGGAATTGATCCAGCAACAGTATCTGGGAACAGCAGAGAAATAGGACTGTGCAGCCCCTCCCCGGCCTGGGTCCTGCAGGTGTCACCTCTGCAGCCCTCATTGAGTGGGTACCTCGATGTGGAAAGCACTGGAGGCTTGCCCAGGGGTACAGAGGTGGCTCAGACAGAGACCTCGCCCTCGGGGATCTTGGAATCCAGGGACCGAGAAGCGAAAAGTTACCCTCACCACAATCCTATGAGCTAGAAGACGGGAAGAGATAAATACTGGAGGGATTCAGAGGGTATAACTTCTGTCTCGGGAATACGCTTCAGTGAGGAAAAAAACCACCTTTTGCCTCCTCCTCGGGGTCTGTCTGAGGCAGGTGTGCAGAGCAGTTTTGACAGATACAGGACCTGCCCGGGGATAGCTTAAGGCCTAACGCTGTGCATCCAGGGCCGACTGCTGGGCACCTGCCCAGCTTTTTCTTGGATGCCGTCCAGCATTTCTGAAGAAAGAGTGAGTGTGCGGGACCCCAGCCCGAGTTTTCCAGTGACCAGAACACCTCCCTGACTCCTATGAATGGAGAAGCCCCCGCTGGGCTGCCCGCGGGGATAATGGGGCTCTCGTTCACCGCACATCTGGGTCAGCGAGGGGCCCTCCTGGGGTGCGCACCAAGATGATAGATTGCTTCTGGGCTCTGGGGTCCTCATTACCATCATATCCATCACCTTCTGCTAGTACCGAATAAGGGATGAAATTTAATCAGATGCCAAAGGAGTTCTCAGGGGGAGGATTTGCGGAACCTCGCCTGATACTTAAGCTCTCGTGCTGCAGTGATGCTAGGGAGCCGGCATGCTATTTGGTGGTGGAGACTCAATGTATCATGCACTGTAGGAATTGTGATTTATTTTTAAAACATTCTTGCTCTCAATGGCTCCCCTTTTAATAGTCTCATTGTAGCCTGTTTATTGTTACAGATGTTATTTTTAGATGAGGTCATGGAGTTTGCCTTTACTTCCAAAGGCAGCCATTTGCCTTTTTCTTGCCGGGTTGTCAGGGCCTCTTGGAGAACAGGGCTAATATGAGGTCAAGATTGAGCCTTCAGACCCCCGGGAGATGAGGCGAAGGAAAAGCCTCTCCCCTGTGAACACACACTCCCATCTGCCATCCATCTCAGGAGAGAGCCCGGTCCCCCGAGTCCAGGTGACGACCTTGAGAAGGTCGCCCGCTGGGCAGAGTGGAGAGGGGACGGGCATTGTGGTCACGCACTGGATCCACACCTTTCTTGTCCACTGAAACCTGAAGCAGGTCCAAAACCTCTCTGATCCTGGTTCCTTACCTGTAACTTGGGATGGTCATTTTTTTTACTCCTGGGGCTTTTATGAGGATGAAATGTGCTACGGCTCCTTGGTGTGTGTTGGGCAGGGTAACTGCTGAAGGTGCGAGGCCCCGAGTGTGCTGTGGCAGGTACAGCTTGCCACCGATGCTTGTAAACAAGCTTTGATTAGCACACACCAACATGTCTATATATATTGGTGAGTGCCAGTCCGTTTACATATGTCCATGGCTGCTTTCACACTACAGTGGCAGAGATACCATAGAGACCATGTGATTTGCAAAGCCAGAATCATTGACAATCTGGCCCTTTACAGAAGTTTGCCGACTCCCCGAGCCAGACCAAAGGCTGGTCACGTGGCACTCAGAGCATGCGTGTTTTTCTCAAAAGCAGCTCACACTTTCTTTTTGGCTTTGCTCGGACTCCTCCTCTGTTGCATTGCCTTCTGCTCCGTGTCCCTGTGTGTGACTCTTTTGGTATCATGGCTATTACAGTAGCGTTTGCTTTTGGGTCATCTTTGTATATTTTGCAGCATGTAAGGCAGCGCCCTACACATAATAAGTGTATAATACTCGACCGAGTTGGTGTGGAACAGAGCAAAAGGGCATCAGAGAAGGGAGAGAACTCTTGAGTCCAGGAAAGAGGTTAAGAAAGACTTTGTGGACAGGATTGCACACAGTAAGGTGGCTGTCACTCCAGCTGCCGGTCAGTGACAGGGATGCAGTGTACACAGGACAGGAGGCAATGCTGCACAATGTAAAGAAGACGGGAGCCTGGAGACCCAGGCTTGGATGCCAGCTCCACAACTCACTGATGAAGCCTTAGGCAAATCGCTTACGCTCTCTACACTTGCTTATATCCTCAACTCCAATGTAGGAAATAATGATCCTAGGGTTGTTGTATGGACTAAATGAGGTAACATAAAGGAGAGCCTCCATCCAGTGCTGGCACATGGAATCATTCCAGAAGCGATCATCGGATGATTATGGTTCTGGCCTTTCAAGTACCGTCGGTGCTGTTTCCCTCATTATGCAGTGAGCAAGGTCAAGGTCGCACATCTAGTCCCTCTGGAGACGAGGCCTATTAACATCACTGTTTTCTACAGTTAGAGAATGTATCCAAGCCAGTAAGTGTACGCTGGCCCAACAGGGACCAGCCCAGTGAGGGGAGGCATTAGTACAGATGAATCATTGACGCTGGAAAAAATGATCCCGGACATATAGTGTCACCACTCAAAGTTAAGATTAATAGCTTCACTTGACTGAAACATTCATTTCATTTTCTAATAGGGGTATGTGTTTTTTTAAAGGGGCAGAAAGAAAATGTTTAGTAGAAAATGTACAGCCTTCTATCTAGTGGAATTTCTTCATACGACAAGCATTTTATGCAAAACAGATGCCTGCGGAGTGGTGCCTACGTGCACCTGTGGGTTCGGCAGTTGTGTTTCATATTCCCCCCTCCTCCAGTTCTTGCAGACAACCTGAAATCCAACCCTGGAATCAAGTGGCAGTATTTCAGTTCGGAAGAGGGGATATTCACTGTCTTCCCAGCACACAAGTTCCGGTGTAAGGGCAGCTATGAGCATCGCAGTAGGTATGTTGACTTACTTGCCAACCTTGTAATTACTGCCCCTGACAGCGATCTGCATGAAATACTGGCTCCTCGTTTACACACCTGGCTCTGCCTCCAGGCTGCGGTTTTAGAAACTTGAACTTATTCTGAAAGGATTTCGCCTTTGGACATAGGTTGACTGTGGAAATGCTAGGGAAGGTCACATGATAAAGCCCAGAGCTTTTCTAGAACTACCTAACATGCCAAAATAGAACAAGATATTTACTAAAGAAATTAAATTGCTTGCAGCACCCAAACTGCTCTGAGCGTCAGACACCTTTGGTGAGACAAACACGGCGATACCTTGCCTACAGTTCAGCCCTGGAAGACGTATTGGTAGCGTGTCTCAGAGCAGAGGTTGTGACGCTCACTGTTCCTGTCGGGACACTGGGCTTGGCCATCCTTTTGAAATTTACACCCAGATCTCAGCTACTCCAAGTGTGAAGGTTGTCTAGGAAACATTGGATTAAAGATCCATCGTTCATGTGGAAATGACTTGAAGTTGTGCCGCGTAGCCAGAAGGGCAGTGACAGAGATCGTGTGTAGGAGAAGGCTCATCAATTCACAGAGCCCCTGAGGCAAAGGTTCATTCCTTCCTTGGGAATCCCCACAGTTCTCCTTTTGCAGTGTCAGATGTTTGATGCCAGAACCTCTGCAGTTGGTACAAGACACCCACTTTGCCGAGTCTAAATGAGCCATCGCTTGAGTTTCTCTTCACCTAATTTTCATGTGCTTCTCCGAAGAGAAATTGGATGGCATGCTATTTTTATTTTTTTTAATATATTTTTATTGATTTCAGAGAGGAAGGGAGAGAAAGAGAGAGAGAGAAACATCAATGATGAGAGAGAATCATCGATCAGCTGCCTCCTGCATGCCCCACACTGGGGATCGAGCCACAACCCGGGCATATGCCCTGACTGGGAATCGAACCATGACCTCTTGGTTCATAGGTCAATGTTCAATCACTGAGCCACGCCAGGCGGGCAGCATGCTGTTTTTAATGAATCACCTGTGAGGGATAATCCAAAAGGACAGGCAGGACCTTATCCCAAATCAGCATTACCCTGCACTTAGAAGGTTTCATCCATCTTTTTTTTTTAAAATTGATTTCAGAGAGAAAGGGAAAGGAAGAGAGAGATAGAAACATCAATGATGCGAGAGAATCATTGATTGGCTGTCTCTTGCACGCCCCACACTGGAGATCAAGCCTGCAACCCGGGCATGTGCCCTGACTAGGAATCCAACCGTGACCTCCTGGTTCATAGGTCGACGCTCAACCATTGAGCCATGCCAGCCAGACAGGTTTCATGCATCTTGATCGTAAATATGTTGCTATTTATATATCGCACTCATCATTATGACAGTGTGAACACATATGCTGCTTATTATTTACTAGTGGCCCGGTGCACATAATTCATGCACATTAAAAGGGGATTAATTAGAGGAAATACTTTAACATTGCTATTTGCCTTTTCTCTATAATAGAAGCGTCAGAGATGAAAGAAACTTAGTAAAATGTGTATGAAAATCTTTCTCCTGTCAGAGTCTGGGGCGCCCCACAGGATCCAGTGTCAAGTCCCCGGCCACTCATGGTGCCTCAAAATCACATGATACCGAGACCCAGCTGGCCCCACAGTTGTCAAGCCCTGCTGGGTGGGGGTGCAGCCTCGGGTCTCCTGGCCCGGTGGGGGGAGGGGGGGGCACAGCCGGTGTCCCCTGTCAAGACCTGCTGGGTGAGGGGTGCAGCCTCATGTCCCCCAGGACCGTGGTGAGGGGCACAGCCTGTGGTCGCTTGGCCCAGGGTGGGGGGAGCAGCCTGAGGTGCCCTGGCCCAGCATCGGGGCGGGGGGTGCACCTTGAAGTCCCCCATCAAGCCCCACAGGGTGGGGGTGCGGCCTCAGGTCCCCTGGACCGGTGCTGGGGCAGGGGGTGAGGCCTCAGTTCCCCCGTCAAGCCCCACTGTGTGGGGGGTGCGGCCTGAGGTTCCCCATCAAGCCCTACCAGGCGGGGAGTGTGGCCTGAACTTCCCCGGCCTGGCGCTGGGGTGGGGGGCGCAGTCTGAGGTCTCCCATCAAGCCCCACCGGGCGGGGGGTGCAGCCTCAGGTCCCCTGCCCTGGCCAAGCATCACGCAGCTTTAGGTCCCTGCTGACTGCTCGTTAAGGCTCGTTATGGGAACTCGGCCTCCGCTGTGGGTGCAGCCATCTTGTGCTATGGAAACCCCGCCTCCGCTGTGGGCGCCACCATCTTTGTGATGGTGTGATGGTCAATTTGCATATTCCCGCTTTATTAGATAGGATGTGAATTGAGTTGGAATGAAGAAAGTGTGTCCATTTTTAAAAAAACCTATTCACCTAGCTTGGAGGACCTAAAAAGTTCCGTGTGTAATACAGTCATCAGTGTTGGGAGAGTTAGATTTTTCTTCTTTTCTGTTCTCTCTTTCATTTCTGGAGCCACATCTCCTGGATTTTTTTTTTTTTAATCCCATTTCCCTACTGGCTCAATGGTATCGACTAGTGGTACCTTAGTATTAATGCAGGACTTTGGGCTGGAGAACAGTGAGTGTCGACTTGGCCAGGTGTTTTGGTACTTTGCCTACATTTCTTAATTTGTGCCCAGGCTTTTGTGACTCAACTGGCATCTAACATTTCCCAGAGAGGAAAAAAAATCTAGTGTTTTTTAGGGGTGTCCATAAAGGAGAGCATTCTCTTGAGGCTGATTTGCTTTCTTAAGCGCCCCCTAATTTGTTCCAGCTTTAACACTGTGAATAGAGACCTCATTAAGCCTCCCCTCACACCCCTTCCTGTACTGCACTCTGGCGGAAGCCTGCTTTGATGGGAGGCCTTTCTCCCTGGGACTCCACCCCTCCCCCTTCCTTAATGTTGGCAAACAAAAACCCAGCCAGAAGAGTGGCTATCACAGGCTCGGACAGCCCTGATGGCACAATGTTAAATGCGTAGATAGGGGCCTTTTAGTGGCTGACTTGCGTGAGCTGCCTCAGTCCTAAAAGGCCCTCTTCGCAGTGGTCCTCGTCTTGCAGGAGAGAAACCAGACCTGTATTCCGAGCCGCTCAGCACGCTCACCGAGTATAGGCTGCCTAGATTTTCCCAAAGTCCCACTCTGTCATCTGCCAAGGAGGACCCAGTACAGGCGAGCGGACCTTTCTCCCTCTGAGGCTGTGTCTGCAGCTTGAGGCGGCCACCGGTCCGACTCCTGCAGCAGGACGTTGGGTAACACTGAGCAGCAGCACCACCACAAGCAGCGGAGAGGGTTGTCGTGTGAGGAAAAGCCAGCCTTCCAAAGGGTTTGCTGCTTAAAACCGTCTCCCAGTCACTTTCATCTTTGGGAGACACAGGGTACCAGCCCCTGGTCTGCAGACCCATGCTGTTATCTCAGGGTGTTGTTTTCAGGGCCCCAGGAGAGTTTCTTCCGCTGGGCTGATCTCGCATTCTCCTGTCCTCTGAGGAGAAACCTAGGCACCAGCATGACTGCACATGGGCTCACGGCTGGCTCAGGGTGAGGCCTTGTACTTAATGCAGGATTGACCGCAGAGAGCTTCTCCTCCTTCCAGACCTATCTACGTCTCGACAGTCCGGCCGCAGTCCAAGCACATAGTAGTGATCCTGGACCACGGGGCCTCCGTCACCGACACCCAGCTCCAGATCGCCAAGGATGCCGCCCAGGTCATCCTCAGCGCCATCGACGAACACGATAAGGTGACCATGATCCCCATGGTCTGCGTGGCTTTGGATCTGCTGTGAACACCTTTTTAGAAGCACTCTGTGTTTGATGACATATGGTTTGGAATCCGTCTTTAAGATGACTTTGGCAGAAGAGAGCGATTTAGTTTTCACTCTGGTATTTGAGAAAGCAGCTGCCAACTGAGATTCCAAACCTCTTGTAAAACTAGCCCCACTCAGCTGAGCCATGCACTTCCTTTCTGCCTCCTCTTAAGACTTCTAATTAGCTGTGACTCTCACACTGGAAGTTATGTTAAGGAGCAAAAGGGCCAGGGTTTGGATGCTGGTGGATGGCTGACTTTATCTGGAGATTGCTTGGGAGGGAAGGGAGAAGGGAAGGCCACTGGAGACTTACTAACCTCTAGGGCACCTCAGCGACAGGTGTGTTTGCAGCTAATGATAGTCCGCCTGTGGGCAGTTTCTGCTTCATCATTTTGACTTTTCCAAATCCTAAAGTTTTACTCACTAATGTCATTGTTTAAAACCTCCCCCATATCTTTACCCTCTCCCCCCCTCCCACCTCCAATTAGACAACCAAGATGGTTAGTACTTGCTAAGACTTTTCTTTGCATGAAAAAAAAAAATTTAATATTATATGTGAACACCATACTGCTGACTTCATCTTGGAACAAAAACCAAACTCTAGGGTCCCTCCCTCTTACCAATCCTTAACTAATCCTTTTCAAAATTGATAGATGTATGCCTCCAGGCATTTATTTTTAAACTCTCAGAAATCTGTAAGCTTTCTCACTCCTCGGGCTCTTCTGGAATTTAGAAAACAAGTAAAAAGACAACCATCCACACCTTTCCATGGTGGGATAAGGGCTTTCCTTTTCCCTCCGCCCAGATCTCAGTGCTGACTGTGGCAGACACGGTGAGGACCTGCTCCCTGGACCAGTGCTACAAGACGTTCCTGTCTCCAGCCACCAGTGAGACCAAAAGGAAGATGTCCACCTTCGTCAGCAGCGTCAAATCTTTGGACAGTCCTACCCAGCACGCCGTGGGATTTCAAAAGGCATTTCAGCTGATTCGGAGCACAAACAACAACACAAAGTCCCAAGCAAGTAAGTGCATTTTCCCAGAGGACTGGTAAACTAGTAAAGGGTGGCGATAGGAATATGTTATAAATGCATCACACCACCATGTCTAGAGGGATTTTTTTTTTATTGACTTGGGATAAAATTTTCGTGTGTTGCCATAATGTCATCCTATGCTAGGCTCTCACTAGATTTTCTCTTCTTTCCCAATCCAAGTGCTCAGTCTGCACAATTTCTTCACCCCCAGAGCCTCCTCTTCCTGCTCCTTTCATAAGGACACATCCCATTTATTCCCCAGGGAATATCCACATCCTTTTTAATGCTAATTGTCAACCTCGCCTCCTCTTTGACTTAGAATGGAGGACCTGTGTGCCTGTGCAGGTAAAATGGGGCCACAGGAGTTCTTGCCTTAATCCTTCCATCCTCTGACCAGCTGTCATTTTGATGAGCATAGCTCTTCAAATGTACAAAGGCACTCTAATTTAATTTCCGTGTATTAAAGAAGATCTGGAATTAGGGTGCATGCTAATGGAAAGGATATTTGAAATAAGACACGTACTTTGAAACTACTGAAAGGAATCTCTGTTATTTTCCCTTTTATATTTGAAAATCTATTTGTAGGTGTGTGTGTGTGTGTGTGTGTGCGTGTGTGTGTGTGTGTGGTTTTTAATGAATGGATCCTTGAGATAAATTTAAAGAATATATTTTTAAGCTCTGTATAGTATCTGCATTAAAACTAAGAGCATTGCTAAATGCAAAGCACAGTGCCTGGCATATGGTGGGACCTTGAAAGAAAGAAGTTACTGTAACTATTGCAACTAATGGGGGCAGGTAGCATATTCATTTTGTGTTTCTGTATATTATTATCTCATCGTTTATTGTATTATCTCACAGTTTCCCTGGGTCAGGAGTCCAGATACAGCTTAGCTGGGTTCTCTTCTTAGGATTGCGTGAGGCTGCAATCCCACTGTCAGCCAGGTGTGTGGTCTCATCAGAGGTTTGGAGTCCCCTTCCAAGCTTTAATTGTTGACATAATCACTTTCCTTACAACTGTAGAACTCATGTCCACTTGCTTCTTCAAAGCCAGCAGGAGAGCACCTCCTCTTCAACTCCTAACTTCAGGGAAGGCTTTAAAGGTCTCCTCTGAACTAATCAAGCCCACCCTCCCTTTTGGTTTAATCAGACAGCTCTCCCTTGTGATTGACATGAAGACCTTAATGACATCTGCAAAGTCACTCCATCACCTTTGCCATAGTCGATTGGTTAGAAGTGAATTCCTGGCCATGCCCGCACTCAAGAGGGGAGGGGATTATGCAAGGATGTCAGTCATCAGGCTCATCTTAGAATTTGCCAACCAGCATAGAAACTGACCAATATTACAGGCTGGCTGAGTGTAAAGTTTCCCACGATTCAGTAAGGTCAGTAGACAAGGCTGACCTCTGAAGTATTCAAGAGGATTGGCTAGTTGGTGGACGCCATTTGCCTGTAGGTGCCATCTACCTCAGTGGAAGTGTTTCTACTTGATTCTTCAGCCATCAAACCAGCTCTAGAGTTTAAGTCCAGTTTTGATGGTGATGCTATTTAAACAGTGGAGAGGAACGTCAGCCCAGCAGTGGCCAGGCAGTGACTGTGACTCAGCAAGCCCCCAGGGTGAGGTAAGGAGGATGTTTGCAGGGTGTGGTTAGCCCAAGAGCACATACTCCAGCAGGGAGGCAGCTGCTCTTCTGTCCAGCCTGTGTTGCCAGGCAGGAAGTCCTGCCCTGTGTTGCCAGATCTTCTGTTTCAAGAGAAGCCAGAAATCTGGATTTTTATGTGAAACCCCTTGGATTTTCAGATGTTGACATTTGTTCCAGCTTTAAAACTGTGAGTAGAGACCTCATTAAACCTCTTCTTACAAATCTTCCTGCACTGCACTTGAGCAGAAGCCTGTTTTGATGGCTAGCATTTGTCTTCTGTGTTCTTTGTTCGTTTTTCTTTTCTTTTTTTTAAAATATATTTTATGGGTTTTTTACAGAGAGGAAGGGAGAGGGATAGAGAGTTAGAAACATCAATGAGAGAGAAACATCGATCAGCTGCCTCATGCACACCTCCTACTGGGGATGTGCTGCAACCAAGGTACATGCCCTTGACCGGGATCGAACCTGGGACCTTTTGGTCTGCAGGCCAACACTCTATCCACTGAGCCAAACCGGTTAGGGCTGTTTGTTTTTCTTAATGTTGGCAAACAAAAGCATGGCAAGAAGAGTGACCATCACAGACTGGGACAAATTTTGATGGTACTATTTTTTTCTTTGTTTTTTTTAATGCTCAGAGGAGTTCCTTTTAGGTCAAGTAATGTGTTTCACAGGCCTCCACCTAAAGCTTCTCCCAGCAGTTCAAAGGAAAAAAAGACCCAAATGAGTTGCTTAAAGTATTTACTTCAGGAATGAGCATTGTCTGGTTAATTAATGAATGATTTGAGGTGCTCTCGAGCAATATAGCATAGTGTTTTAAGTATGTGTGGGTTTTAGGTTTCAACCAATGTGGTTTCAAATTCCTACTCTGGAATTTTTCTAACCTCTGTGAACTTATTTGTGTAAATTATTTGATCTCTCCAGGCCTGGGGGTGATAATAAGATCCAGGATTCCATCATAAATATTAAATAAACTTAGCTGTGGCTGTTATGATATTCAGTTTCCTACAAGACTTCCAGCTAACCTACAGAGCATACCCCAGGTATCCTAAATTGACCTCAGGCCCAAACAAGGCCAAGGACCACTAGTAGCCTTGGCTACAACAGTGAGGGGTCTGTATACTCCTCCCAGGAGCTTACACTCTATATACACACCACTGTTCATTCCACAGACAGTTATTTAGCACCTGCACTGTACCTGATACTGTTTGAAGGCCATGGGGTGAGGTTAATCTAATAAATCAGACCTACCCTGTAGGAATATCGTGAGAATTAATCTGTGCATGAGAGTAAAGTATCTGCCCCCCATTAGTGATAATAAGATACAGAAGCTACATGTCAGAAATTATTATAACTTTGCACTAATCAGAAAAATCTAAAACTTTTATCCAGTGCTGGCTCTTTTTCAAGCCTATGGTAGATTTATAACTGATAACTGCCGGGGTTCTTGTCCCAGCATCAAGAAGGGTTCAGCAATCTGGAAAAGGGGCTGTGCGTAGATGGCATAGAAATCCAGAGACTAATAAAGAGTCCAGAGACTAGATATAATTTTGAAAGGCATTGGGGGTCAGAGGACCTTCAGCTAAAGGAGCTGAAGACTCCCTCCTTGTCTTGGACCCTTGCTTTTATTAACACAATTTGTCCTAAAGCAAGGTGGAGATAATACACTTCAAAGGGTAGGGTTTCAAAGGGTACAGAAGCATTGTCAGAATGAGGGAATTAGCCTACGGCTGTTCAGGTGTTTGGCCAGTAGGAGGCAATAACATGTAGATTAAGATGCCTTTTAGCTGTCTGGCAGCCACAATCAGTTTCCTATTCAGGTCTATGGAAATGCCTTTAGCCATTTCCAACAGGTGACTATATGTGTGACTCAACCCTGTTGAGTCCCCAAGTTTCATCACCCTTTTGATGAAACTCTTGAAATTATGACATGCTGGAATAGGTTCCCGGCAGATAACATCAGTACATTTGGATTATTTGTTCTGGGTTTATTATTAGGGTAATTGGTTGGTGGGTCACTTTATAGAAGAAGGAATAAGATGGTTAGGAGTGGTGATCTATTGGCATGGGCAAAGTCTAATTTGAGTAGCTCTTTCCTTTTTGATGTTGACCCTACGGCATGCATGTGACTTAGTAAGGGGCTTGCCAAATGGAGAGTCCATTGCATTTTTTAAAAATTTAAGTTCTTTATTGTTAATGTATTACATAAGCCATTGCATTTTCTTCTAGGTATATATTATGTCATTGTTCTGCCCAAGTTCCTATAATTATTCATTCTTAACATTACTAATCACAAAGTTTAAAGTTCTTCTAACTGAGTGACTAGAGAGAATATCTGTTAAGTAAAAATAAATAAATAAATCAGACCAAATTTGGCAGGTCTGCTATCTAGAAATAGAAAAATAACTCTATTTTGATTGTGCATTGGACAGGAATGGAGTCAGGGATGAGGCAAAAACAGTGAGGATACTTACAAAGTATATATCTTATTGTGGGGATGGAAAGAAAATACACTGGGTGCTGAAGGCTGCAGGCTGCAGACCTTCTAGCTTTCCAAATATGGGCCTGTGCCCTAAAACTAGCTCTCAGTGACAACATATTTAATCCAAATTCCTAAAGCTAAGTAAAAGATCCAGTGGGTTCTCTTTTAAGTCAGTTTTACAGGTGTGTCCAGGAATTTATCACACATGGTACCTTTGGCATTGGGCAGCCTCATGGTATATTTGTACACACACATACACACTATTTTTTTCCAGTTTAAAACTTTAAGTGAGGTGTTCTCAGGTGTGTATTTACAACATGGAGAATTATTATCAGCTAATTTAAGACAGGGATATTCCGAACCTTTTGGGGTGTGTGTGTGTGTGTGTGTGTGTGTGTGTGTGTGTGTGTGTTTTGCATCAGTATTCACTTCCTAATTTCTGGTAAATAAGTAGTGCATTATAAATTTGCAGTTAGTATTTATTAGAGAATTATTCAAGCATCAAAATTAGCTTTAAGACTTGCTTATAAGTCCTATACAAAGGCACCAGCCCCAGAAGAGGGAGCTACAAGCTGTGGATTGCTGATAGTTTCAAACAGCATACTCAGGGCCAGTCACAAAACACGTCTGACATTGTCCTGTGCTAGAGATTGGGAGTAGCAGATCTATCTAATACAGAGACACAAACCCAAACAGGTATACAAAATGAGGAGACAAAAAAAGAAGCCCAAAATGAAAGAACAAGAGAATTCTCTAAAAGAACTAAATGAAATATAGATAAGAAATTTATCAGACATAGACTTCAGAATAATAATGGCAAAGATGTTCAACAGCATGAGAAAAGATATAATTATGAAGAATGACATAGCACT